TATGAAGAAAGTCACATATCACACGTTTCCGATCACATTCACAAGTCACAAGTCGCATAAGAGCAAACTAAGTCACAAGGCACAAGCCACAACATACATAACGACAAAGAGAGTCACAGGTCACGAGTTACATGTTTCAGGTCACAGTCATAAAACATATGTCACTTTACAAACAGGATATTCATACTTCAGGTCACAAATCATATTTCGTATCATAATAAATGTGAAGTTCATATTTAAAACCTGTCATGTATGGCATTGTGAGCTCAACTTCAGATGGATCAATGACATTTATCACAACCTATTTCACATAAGATGAAAAAATATTGAGCATACGTCATTTCAAAATTTATATAATTAACCAAATGATTACATAACAATTTAGATGTATTTAAAACCTTACATTCTCACTTCCAAACACTTTGTCCTCCAACATTGCCACTGAAGGATGTTTGTGCGCAGTCCAATTAATAATGCGTGGATATTTCTTATAAATTCTTGTGGCCACATTTCCCTCAAGTGCAGGTATGCACTCATATAACCACACCTGGAAAGCCACTAAAAAACCTGTCAATCTATAGTGACTAGTTTGTTTTGATAGTCCCTTTTTTAGCGACAATAAGGTGGTCTCAAACAAATATCTACCCCAAGGAAATGTTTTAAGAGTGGCAAAATCGTCTACAAGTCCAAATATGTATTGATCCACCACCTTCGGGTAGGATGTAGCAAATAAGTATGAGGTGATGAGATAGATAATTCCAATCTTAACAATGTCAATGTTTCGCGCATCATCCAGTGAAATAAAAACCCTTTTGACATCTTCACTTGTAACAACTTTGAAGTCCTTAAAATATGTGTCCTTCACTGAAGACGATTTTTCATCTAACATTGGTCGACCATCGACCCCATCATACCTCAATCCCGTAACCATTCAGCAATTGAAAAACGAATATATCTCCCATTTACATTAAACCACATCTCTTGCTTGTTCGGTTGCTTGACCTCCCATAGTAAAACTTGGTGAATCAATTGTGGCTGCACAACTATCTCCCTACAATGCACGTAGTAGGAGAAACATGTGTTTTCTAGAATTGCCCTCTGCGCAGCCTTAAATTTCATCACAAAGTGCGTAATCACACTCTGTATTTGCGTTGTGGTGATTTTTCCAGAAAACCAATTCCTTGGTTTTATTAAGTATTTCCAGT